TCAATAGAGCCCCGCCCTAACATCAGAACCCCTGACCCAGAGGCCATAAAATTCACAATTTTAAAAGAAGGACACTTCTTCATCATTACTATTTCACAATTTTGGTAGAGGGCTCAATGCTTATTACAATCATGCCAACAGTTTGACTGCTTGATGTCCAGGAGTAAAGAAGAAAATTTTAAAGATTGCATTAATTTTGATGGTTTTAGCCCCACCCCTCAGGCCCCAGGGGGGTTGGGGTCATGAATTTCACCATTTTTACTCCCCTTCATCCAAAGATGCTATATGCCAAATTTGGTTGAAATTGGTTCAGTGGTTCCAGAGAACAAGCTGAAAATGTTCAAATGTTAACGTACGATGGACGGCACACACCGACAGACGGAAACAGATAGCAATAGGTCACCTGAGTAAACTCAGGTGACCTAATAAAGGTCCAAGGTTTTTTTTTTTTTTTTTTTTAACTTGAGCTTTTGTGCAGTTGAGGTAAGAAAATAATTCCAGTGCAACTTTTTGCATGCAATAAATATACAGTTTTTTCTCTGAGTTGTGTACATCATCTTGTTGATTATTCAGTGAGTGGTAGCTCAGAGCATGACAAGTTATTCACTTCAAATATGATTATTTCACACAATTTCATATATATCACATTAAAAATATATGGAAGCACTGAAAAGATGGGATATTAAGTTTTAAGAAGCAGTTCTAAGAGGATGATGCAGATCAAAATTCCTCAACATACATAATGCGGAATCTTCATTTTTACTTCACAAAAGTTATTTTACATCTTTTCCAATTTGAACAGTTTACATGTCAATTTTCTGAATTCTTAAGGACCCTGGACCACAGTTAAAATTGGTGGGAAAAACCCCTGCTTGAAACTACCTTTCCACACATCTGAACATCCAACGCAACGTTTTTCCTTTTAATCGTAATATTCATCGCTTAACAACTGAATTTTAAACCCCCTTCACTCTAGTCAATTCTAACATAATGATGTAAGCTCTCTAATAACAACTTTTTATCCATTTTCAGGGATTGACATTAACGGTTGTCCAATTGCCCGGGGCAATTAAATTCTCAGTTTGGGCAAGTGAAACTTCTGTTGTACTTGTCCGATCGGGCAAGTGAATATTTCTGATAGAATTTTTTTTTTAATCTTGCATTAGTTTATAAACAAAACAATAAACACTTGATTTCCACTAGGAACATATGATATTGTTTTTGCATTTAGAATCCCTTGGTAGCATTTCTAGATCATAAGATCATACCATTTATTCAGAAATCAGGTTTGTTATTCCGTTTTCTTTCGTGGTAGTTGACAAAAACATGCTGTCCAACTTACAACTTTGTTTACATTCTGATTATGAAATTAGATATTATTGAATAGTTTATTTATTCACTCACCATCGTCGCAAGCCACGGGTTTTGTGTCCATTCTATTTCCACAAACCCGTGGCTGCCTCCTTCAAATTTCTCTCGTTCTCATGAATATTAATAACATACATTCAACCAATGGAATAACATCTGACGCTTCAAGTCAGAACCAATGAAAATGATCAGTCTATCTTGTATTTGGATGTAACCATAACCACGTGCTGTACATCAACTTCGGTTCGAATTTCCTTTCTTAACGAGTAACGCTATTCAGCGTTCTCACACAACGTCTACATTCGAAACCCTGTATTTTAATCTAAAACCTTGTAAGTATTTTAGAATATATGTTACTCACATCTGTTCTTCAGGATCTATCGTATTTTTTTTTTTCAATAAATCTGCCACGCTTTGCAAACATGATTTCATTATGGGCACCGCCATTTAAGCGTACCAAAAATTGCTACAGAGTGATTTCATTGGTCAGGGTAAATCTGGCGTCACTTAATAAATATTCAATGATTCAGTCGCGAGAACGAGAGAATTTGGTAGGAGGCAGCCACGGGTTTGTGGAAATAGAATGGACACAAAACCCGTGGCTTGCGACGATGTTCACTCACAGAATATAAAGAACACCAGTTATTCTCAGCGCATGATATATTCTGATCAGAATATGTATGTTTTGAAACATGGCAAATGTTTTCCTTAATGGATTCATGGCTTCAGTTTCTCAGGTGGAAATTCAAAACTTACAAAAAGATCATACAGAAAATAATTTTTTTAAAAAAATGAACTTTATTTTAATGAAATATTGCTGCATGGCAGTGTGAGTTTAAGGATAATAAGTGACAGGAATGTGGTATACATGTTTTTAAAACTGAAGCATCATCGAAACATCAACATTTTCTTTCTGTCAATTAACTTGCCGAATAGAAAGTAATATGTCATACTTTATTTACAATGATAAATTCTTCCTTCTAAATTTTAGACAACTAAGTTTTGCATTCAGCATTTTCAGACAGGTCAAAGTTTGAGTTCACTTGCCCTTTGGGCAAGTGTATCTAAAAGTTAATGTGATTGTCTATCCCTGATTTTATAAGTTTTATTTGAACAACTTTCTCCTCTCCAAATTCTTTCATTTAATTAAAACTCTAATCACAGAAGTGCAAATACCAAAATGGGTGATCTGAATTAATCGAAGTTTCAAATAATGCAAGGACTATGTAGATATGCAAGTGGGTACCACATACACTAAACTTAGGGAACATTGTCAGCATCATAGTGTCAATTCCTTTCAAAAACACTCGATGCTAGATATGGTAACTTACAGTCATAAGTCTTTCAAATGGGACCTTAATAATTGTGGTGGTACAATGTACTTACAAGAATCCTTGTTTAACTGGCTTTGTTCAATAGCATTCCTTCACCAAAAGCTGGCAAAGTATTATTATGTGAACATTTTAAATATTATGCATGATTTGCAAAAGCTTCTATTACCAAAGTCTCAATTTTCACTCTAAAGGAAATCAAGGTTTAAATAAACAACATTTAAATAAACAAACAAATAAGAAAAACTGAATATTTGGTGAATGAGGAAAGTTCCATGTTGATTTCAATTTCTCTTTGACTTATCAAATATCAGTCCTTACGACATGCATCATCAAATATAATTTATATATACATTTATTACATTTTCAATAGTGAAATACTGTGATTTATTCAATGAATAAAAGTGATATTCTCTCACAATGTGAAAGGATATCAAAGTGATTTTCTGTCCCAGTGTGAAAGAATATCAAAGTAAACAAAAATAATTTTTGGCCTCTCATATAATACAGTAACTATACCATCTTGATACAGACTAAAACTGCCAATTTTCTCCCAAATATATTGCTAAAAAGTCATATCCATGTTACGATGTTTTCAGTCTCACAACTGCTAAGCTATGACGTCTCAAATGCTCAACTATGACATCACAGCCTATTAAAGCCTAAAGCAAAGAGAATTAAATCAAAGAAACTGTAATAAACAGAAAATTCAATGTTTTGTAGTTTGATATGGAATTTATTTCACTCATGAGACAGGATTTTTTAATATTTTCACTTGTGCTTCACACTTGTGAAAATATCCAAAAAATCCTGTCCCACTCATGAAATAAATACCATATCCAAAAAAAAAAAAACATTGAATATACTCTAAATATAAAGTATACCTAAATTTGCAATAAATCATTTGATTTCATCGTATTATCAGAAGCTTTTTAAGTTGTTTTTTATTTTAAACAATTGTGAATAATGCATGTTTCTTGCATGTGAAAAACAAAACACTATCTCCACCTACACTTTTGAAACAATCATTTCTAATTTCTTAATTATACTTTTATTGGAAATTAATTCACAAACAGAATTCTGACTTGTGTCATAAAACCTATATATAATAAACAAGACCTGCTTGTATTTGGCATTAACATGCAATGTGTAACTTTAAAATGTTTTTAAAGATAAATGTGACTTGGAGCTCTGAATAAGGTACATCAAGTCAGGAAAATATCCAATAAAAATCCCATTCATTTCATAATGTTGGGTGTCATTTGAGGAAGGATTGCAAATTAATGCTAAATGAGCAGGATACCATACAATTATTTTTTTTATATATGTGCATCATTTTATCGTACACTCTATGCAACATAATGTTTTAACACAGAGTAAATTGAGGGTCATGATTCATATATTTCTATTATTTCTTTTTTCTAATATATACAATATTTTAGAAATTATCAATTCTGTGTATTCAATTTTACATTCTCTCAGTGAAAAATTTATAAAAGTAAACAAGTGTTTCTAAATAATACAGTTTACTCTCAGACCTTGACAGTAGTTCACTGAGTAACTGTTAACAAAAGGGTATTCTATTTGAAGGACTGTTCCTGATTATGAAAATTACTTTTCACCAGTCAGATCTCTCTAAACCAATCCTTTTCTAGTGTCAAGGTCATTTCGATAGTTGGCGTCTAATCCAGTGTTTAAGCAAAAGGCTCAACAAATCCTAAATTACAGTGTTTAGATTAAATATTGATAACATCACATGTATGGTGTTATTGAATATTTGGTTTTGGGTGAATATGTTGCATTCGAAAGATATCGAAATGAATGCACACATGTGCATGCAATACACACGACAAAGTGTCATATTGTGAAATTCTAGACGTAGTTTCCGAGGTAAATCGGTCATAAAATTACATGTAGCGATCAGCAGGGCAAGTTCTTAGGTATATGTAACCGTATCAGTCGCTAAAACCACAATGAAGCCGTGAAATACTAAACAGGACGTGACGTTTTACACCATTCATACCTATTTATGAATGAAGCTAGTGGCATTATAATAGGTGACCCAATCCACTGTAAAGATATGTCACCATTATTTGTTCATCAAATAATCACTAGGACTTCTAATATCATTAGAACACTTCTTGATCAATCAGATTTGTAACAAAAATTGTCCAAATCCTTCAGTTTCATCAGTAACCCAGGCTCCATCTTCCACAGTCACATACAGCACATTTTTTTAGGCCACTGAGCCTAGAGATAATATATTTTTAACCTCAAAGCAGGTGAAA